CACAGCTTTTCTGTGCTCTCAAGAAACATTTCCCAGAAGATTTTACTTGACTGACTCTGCTTTTTGGTTTTTTGAGGCAGGGATTCCCTGCATAGCTTTGGAGCCTGTCTTGGAACTATTGTAGACCAGGCTGCTCTGGATCTCACAGAGATCCACCTGTGTCTACCTCCCAAGTGCTGGCATTAAAGGCATGTGCCACCACAGCTCAGGCCTCTGGTCTCTTCTTAATCACCACTAATTTCTTAGCACCAGGTGAGCAGCATCAAGTGTGCCAAACAAGCAAAGTTTCCATTTAGCAGTTCTGGTATCTTGTTGATTACAGTCGATTCTTCAGCCGCATTGCACAAGAATCATAGAATGTTAATTCAAAATAACAAATGACCCTGATAGATCCTTTAAACTTCCCTCTGAAACTTCACAATCCAGGCCTTTATCTTCTACACTGCTCTCAGCATTCTTGCCTTCCAAGGCCCTAAAAAACGTACCACTGAGCTCTTAACACTCTATGACTCTCTAGCCCAAAGTTCCAAAGTCCTACCACAATCCTCCCCACAACATGCTCAGGCCTGGCACAACAATAGCCCAGTATACCAGTACCACTTGTCTTAGGGTTTTTAAGGCTGAGCTGAAACACCATGACCAAAAAAAGGAAAGTTGGGGAGGAAGAGATTTATTCAACTTACACTTCCATATTGCTGTTCACCACTGAAGGGATTCAGGACAGGTACTCACACAGGGCAGGGACCTAGAATTATGAGCTGATGCAAAGGCCATGGAGGGCTGATGCTTACTGGCTTGTTCAGCCTGCTTTCTTATACACCCTGGGCTACCATGCTCTGGACCCTCCCATCAAGATCACTCATTGAGACAATGCCTTACAGCTGGACTTGGGGAGGCATTTCCTCAGCTGAGGCTTCTTCATATCTGATGACTGTAACTTGTGTCAAGCTGATACACAAAACAAGCTGGTATGGTCTGTAGGGGCCACAAGAGATCTTGCTTCTGAAACAAACAAAAGTAGCATTTTTTTAGTGTTTTCTACATGAATATTTTCATCTTTTCTTGTTGGAGTGGGAGGCAGCAGGATTAATGAAGTTTATCAGGACAGTTTACACCACTTGGTAAATCCAGAGGACCCTAGCCTAGGATTTAGACCCGCTTCATGATAAACACTAATCATCTTATAATTTTTGATTAAATATTCATGATTATAATTTTAACCATTTTGTGAAGTTTACATCATTACCAGAGCTGCTCCTCCCTCTTTGTTTATATTTTTTATTATTAATTATTATTTTTTGGATTTTTGAGACAGGATTTTACTATGTGTAGTTCTGGCAGTCTTGGAACTATCTCTGTAGATCACATTGGCCTCTAACCCACAGAGACCTATCTGCCCTGCCTCCCCCAAGCAGGAATTAAAATCATATGCTCCCCCCACCCTTGTCACTTTTCAGCGTTCCTTAGGGAATAAAATGAAACAAACCAGGAAACCACACTAAGGAAAGTGCCAGGCTGGAGGTATGGATTCCTCACTAGTTTATGACAATAAAAGCCTCTCACACCAGTATACTGGCTTGTAGGCAGGTCCCAGAGGCCACTTTAAGTTATGGTTGACAACTTAAACCCTTCTCTGAGGCTCCAAGACACCTTCCTCTGCCTGATGTCTCTTCACTTGAGCAGGCCAGGAGCTCTCAAAGCCAGCAGCTGCTTAGTCACAGCCAAAATGCCCACCCTCAGGGTCCCACATACTGAGGTCTACTACAAGTCAAGATTCAGTTGCTTAGTTGCCAGAGGGAGGGTGTCTCAGTGAAATACTTCAGTGAGAAAGAGGGGTCAAAAGAAAATGTTGATTTGGAGGAATCAAACCAAACACAGTCTTTCAACTGCAGCCCATGGAAAGGCCAGTGTTTGTCCAGGTCTTACAACCAACGGGGAGGCAATAGCCTTGTTTCTTTTACTTCACAGACACATGTCATCATTGATTATACCTTGTTTTTCTTTAAGAAAAGTAAAATCCCAAACCCATGGAATAAGGCAAAAAAAAATTAAGAAGATAAAGAAGAAGAGGAGGAGGAGGAAGAGAAAAGAAAAAAGGAAAAAAAAAAACAGGATTGCCCTAGGCTTGAGTCTGGTAGTGGCTAAACAACTCCCAGTTATATTGGTGTCTTCTTGCCTCATCAAGTCCCAAAAGCCTCACTGTGGGCACTTCTGCACTCAGTAGGACTTCATCTCATCCAGTGTGAAATGTCCTCCAACTGGCCAGCACCCCTGTTAATCTAGTGGCTACACCTCTCCTGGTCAATCATTCTCTGGGTTTGACATTCCTATGAGTCTGTACATGATTCAAATGAGTCCATCACATCCTCCACAGAGACCCAGGTCCACCACACCCTTGTTCCTAAAAGGCATGAACCTCATAGCCTTGCCGGTTCACTGTCCAGTGCTGAGTTAGCTGTGTGCTTCTTCCCTGGGCTGTGAAGACATTTGACTATTTGATCTAACCTGTCTGGAATGGGGATCTGGGGTTCCACCATCTCACACTGTATAAGACAGCAAACTCATTCTCAATAGTGGGGTTACTCAGGAGTGATCAGGATAGAGGGGTTCTTGAGCCACAAAGCTTTTGAGAAGCCTGCTTAGACCATGTTGTGTGTGCAAATCCAGCAATACAGGCCAGCAGCCTTGCCTGTGCCCATGAAGCATGGCTTTACTTCTGGGCAATGCAATCGGTTTAAATTTGAAAATCTGAGTGATGGAACAAAGGGCATAGACTGCGGGTCAAAGGCAGGAGGTATATTTGAGAAATAACCTGTTCCTTTCTCTTATGCCCCCCAGAAAAAAAAATGCTGTCTTCCTGTGTGTCAAACATAAGGTTAGTGCTGTGTTGTTTGACTTTAACTTTGTTCAGCTGGAAGGATGTGGATTCAAGGTAAGACTTCCTACCTCAAAGATCCTGATTAGAGGTGGATCTTCCTACTTCCAATTAAGGGAAAATCTCCTATGGGTGTGACACTTTGTTTGAATTTTAGCTAGTTCCAGATATAGTTGTCTTGACAACCAATGAAGGTCACTAAGTTTGACAATATTCTAGGGAATAGACAAATGTGCTTCTGAAACGAATGTTGCCTTGGGACAAGTAGCTCTGACTTGCTGAAAGCTATTTCAAAACCAGGATTGTAAACACACTGTCTTGTTGATGACCTGCCTATGACACAAGTGACCCTCTTATAGTGCAGGCTTATGGATTATTTCTTAATTAGCTCCGGTGTGGATTTGTATCACAAGGAACACCAGAATTTGAGGTGCAAGACACAAGGCTTTAACTTCTGGATTCTGGAAGATCACCTTTGCTTGGTGTGTGTGGCCCTTTTTGTGTTGTTTTTGTTGTTTTGTTTTGTTTTTCATTTTTGAGACAGTGTTCCTTTGTGTATCAGTGCTGGATATCCTGGAACTCACTCCGTAAACCAGGCTGGCCTCAAACTCACAGAGATCCACCTGCCTCTGACTCCTGAGTGCATGATTTTGCTCCATGAGGTGCCAACTCCAAGAATCTTAAGGTGGAAGACACACTTTTAATCTGGGCCACACCATCTGTTGGAAGCCTATTTACAGATATGGACAAACGGAGCTTTGAAGCTTTGCCTGCTTGCTCTTGCCCTGCTAGGAAGTCCATTCATTCACTGGCCTTAGAGCCTCTTCTTTTGGGATACCAGAATCAAATGATGAGCAGCTGAGACACCCAGGCTGATGAAGAAAAGACGTAGGCATTTGCAGGAGGGAAAGGATCCTTCTGACCACAGTCAGCACTCCAGAACCATATCTGGAAGCAACCCTGAGGATATGGAGGCTGCTAGGGAGCTCTCAGTAGGTGAGTCTCACAGTAAGTCACTTTCAGTTTACATGGCCTCAACCAAGGCTGTTGGCACTGAAGTGTATTTGTCTTCTTGCCCTGCCACAGATCCTACCCTGTCATCTCCTGACGAACCAAACCGGCCTCAGAATGAAGCTCAGGTGGTACCAGAGCTGGCTGCTAAGGAGGAGTTCCATCTTAGTTGGCAGAGGCCCCATGATGTGGGAGCTGGACTCGAGAACACAGGTAATAGCTGCTACATGAATGCAGTACTGCAGTGTCTGACACACACACCACCTCTTGTCAACTACATGTTGTCTCGGGAGCACTCTCAGAACTGTTGTCACCAAGGAGACTGCATGATTTGTGCTATGGAAGCTCATGTGACCCGGAGTCTCCTCTACTCTGGGGATGTCATCCAGCCCTCAGAGAAGTTGACTGCTGCCTTCCACAAGCACAGGCAGGAAGATGCCCATGAGTTTCTGCTGTTCACCTTGAATGCCATGCACACATCCTGTCTGCCAGGGAGCAAGCTCCTGGGATGCACATCTGAGCAGAGCTCCCTGATCCATGAGATATTTGGAGGCTCCTGGAAATCTCAGATCAAGTGTCTCCACTGCAATGAGACCACAGACCTCTTAGAGCCCTTCCTTGACATCACCCTGGATATCCAAACTGCTCAGAGTGTGAACCAAGCCTTGGAAAATTTAGTAATGGAGGAACAGCTGTGTGGGGAAAATGCCTACCATTGTGACAACTGTAGGCAGAAGACAATGGCTTCCAAGACCCTGACTGTGAAAGATGCCCCAAAGGTTCTCTTGCTGGTGTTGAATCGCTTCTCAGAGTTCACAGGTGACAAAAAGGACAGGAAAGTGAGCTATCCTGAGTCCTTTGACTTCCAGCCCTACATATCTCAGTCCCATAGACAACCATTGTTTTATAGCCTGTATGCTGTACTGGTCCATGATGGTGTGACTTGTCACAGTGGTCATTACTTCTGTTATGTCAAAGCTGGCAATGGTCACTGGTATAAGATGGATGATTCTAGTGTCACCAGATGTGATGTCAATTCTGTCCTAAGTGAACCTGCTTATGTGCTCTTTTATGTCCAGCAGACTGATCTCAGAACGAATTTGTGGGTGCTCTCACAGGCAGAACACCAGGTAGGGGAATCCTGGTATACAACGATCAACAGAGGATCCCCCACAGAAGCTGCAGAGCCCCCGGATCACACAGAGAATACAGCTGCCAAAAATTTCTTAGACCACTGGAAAACTCTTCTGAACATGAACACCAAAGCCTTTGGTGAAACTTGGAAAACACAGACCTACTCTGAGAGCAAATGAAGTTGTGATTCCCCAGTCCACACACAGGATAGAGTTAAGAACCATTCCCACCTTGACAGGGAGAATTGCCGTGTCAGTCTTCTGCCAGGCTTCTGTCTTTCTCATCAGGAGACCATGGACTCTGGGCAGCTCTGCAGAAACGGAGGGAGACCAAGATCTAAGAAGTAGACTAAGGTGGGGGTCTCACTCCATTCACTGACCCTGGGGATGTGGACAGTCTGTGACCTTGAGGCTACCCTTAGAGAGAGAGCAATTTGAACCTGTGCCCCAGGCACGACAGAATGTCTCACCCTAACCTGCTCTTCACAGAGGTCCTCTGTGTCCTCCAGCGTTCTTCCTGGGACCCTTAGAAGGTCGGTGAAAGAGAATGCCCAGTGTTCTAGGACTAGTTAAACCTGAGTAATCTTTTGTATTTGGGGAGGGGAATTCTGCAGCACCCTCTGTTGGAGCTCATGGACTCTAAGTAGGGCAGACACTAGCACCCACAAGCTTTGGATTTAGGATTTCCACTCAGCCAAGGAGGCACTGGCCAGACCTGCTTCTTCCTCCTCTTCCTCCTCTTCCTCTTCTTCTTCCTCTTCCTCTTCTTCTTCTTCTTTGGTTTTTAGAGACAGGGTTTTTCTGTGGCTTTGGAGGCTGTCCTGGAACTAGCTCTTGAACACCAGGCTGGTCTCAAACTAACAGAAACCCCCCCGCCTCTGCCTCCCAATATAGCTTTTTCTTTAAATAAACTGGGTTTACTGTGTGGAACACATTGAGGGGATAGTTTTCGTCATTGTGCTTCAACTGCTGTTCTTTTGACCAAATAAAATCTGTTACTTGATACTGTCTGTCCTTTCTTTCTTTATGAATGACAATTGATACTGAATATTATTGAAGCTGAAGCATTTCCTGGAAATTTTGGCCTCATGTTGTTGAAACTAACTCACCAGTCAGAATTAATTACTAATTCTGGATTTTTGCTCAGCAATGGAGAAGCTTACCCAAACTGTTTTACACTTGATTTTGTACATGCTTTAAAACACTGGGCGGCTTCTTGAGTCTTTTTTTAACCTGAATTGCAACTGTTCTCAGGAAATAAATTTTAGCAGTTGGCTCTTTTGTCAACCTTTTATATGAATAAACTTTTCTCTTATCCCTCACCAAAACAGCTTCTCTTTGCAGCAATCAGAGACCATTACAGAGAACTACAAGTCCAGAAAACATGTGTTGTCTGTCTTAGGTGCCTGGATCCACAGATTACAGGAACAACACAACTACTGTCATAGGGCCAAGAGCACATGGTGGAATTGGAGGTGAAAGAATTCCAAGAGCAAGGGACCTGGAAGTGGGTTGTGAAGTTGTGTATCCTATTCATAGAAGTGGGTCTCCACTCACAATATCCCAACAATATGGCTGCCTAAACAGTCAATAGACAAAGGGAAAGCTCATGGGGCCCCACTGACAGCCACAATACTAAGCCTGTAGAGAGAGAAGGAGGGAAAATTATTCTTCTGTATCAATTGGTTTCCTTGTTGGTTTTCTATTGCCTAAACTGTAAACACACATGGAACTCTAAAGAGATACAGCTACTTTTATATGTCTGAGCCTTTATATTCACAAATAATAATACCAAAGACAAGGGCCTATCAATTTGAGAGTGACTGAGGTGGGAATGGTAGAGGATGAGGGAGGAGAAAGGGTAAATGATGTAATCATTTTAATTAAAAATTAAAGAAATTTTCATCTATAATGTACCAGTGAAAACACCTTTTAAAACTTGTCAGTTAAGTTTAGTGCAGTATACGAAAATAAAGTAAATTTCCATCAGGCATCCCGGGAAACATCAAACCTCCTCATTGATTCCACAGCTGTGGCTTACAGGCCCCTGATGCTCATTCCAACTCTACTATAGTGTCCTGATGTTAGAGTTATGGAAGTACAGCATTGAGTTCATCCCCCTGCCTGAGTGTGCATATAGTGTGTGTGTGTGTGCACGCGCGTGCGTGCGTGCGTGCGTGTGTGTGTGTGTGTGTGTGTGTGTGTGTGTGTGTGTGCTTGCGCATGTGTATACTGGTATATCGTGTACTTCATGCATAAGAGTGTGGGGGGTGACTAGGCTTTGCCTACTTGAGTGTGCATATGGTGTGTGTGTGTTCTTGTGCATGCCTATACTGGTATATTGTGTGATTCTTTATATTGCGTGATTCTTGCATAAGTGTGTGTGTGTGTGTGCACTTATACATGTGTATACTGTATACTGTATGACACATGCACAGTGGTGTGGGTGGGTGGCCATGCCTAAGGGAGCCTAAGGGAGGTTTCCAATGCTCCCTACCACTCTCTAGCTCACTTCCGATAGCGAAGATCATATGTATGTTCAGAAGGTTGCATGGCTGCGCTTCCAAATTCCCAGATCTGTCTGTCTCCGTCCTCTCTTTCCCAGCACTGGGATTACAGGCATGCATGGTTATCCCTGGTATTTTATAAGGGTGCTGGGATTCCATCAGATGTCCTTATGCTTTCATAGCAAGGGCTCTCATACACTGAGCTACTTCCCTGGCTCCCTCCGGCCTTTTTCATGTTCCAATCTGTTGGGTCCCAGTCCCCATGGGGTCTCTGTGAGTTGCTTGTCAACCATTAACCACAGGTGCATCCTGTTTTCTAATCCTGGCTTACAGCCCCGGCCTCGCTCCACTATACCTGGGAAAACACAGCTCTTCTTCTACGAGCTCTTACACCCGGGGATTTTCCACTGCGCTCTAAGTGTCTATAAGGCTCTTCTTTCCCTGGAATGAGGAACATTAATAATGTTTGACAGACGCACATAGCGCAAGCGGCCAGACGGCTCGGTTTTTAACTAAATCTCCAGGCTTTTGCCCAATACTTGGACTTAGTCATGGTGTGGGACACCACATGTGACCTTCTGATGTCTGATCTTTTGCAGTCTTGGTACCTCTGTAGATTCCCAGGCCCCAGTCTTCCAAATATGACATTGTTATTGTAAACAAGAACACACAGCACTTGTGGATTCCTGCTCAAGTTCAGACCATCTGTAATGGAGTTTTTGACCCTGGGAAAATACCATAGGGTTACTGTATCATGGCTGGTAGGACCCTATCTTCCAGGAACAAATGGCTGGTGGGTACCAAGATGGATGATTCACAGTTTGTGTAGGGGTAAAGGTTGATAATTTTTACTAAGCCATTCAGTCAGCCATCATTTGAGTAACCCTTTGCAACTCTCTGATTTTAATTTTAAGCTTCTGCAATACTGAAGTGGCCCAGAAGCCAGCATGAGCCCTAGTATGCCAATAGGCATCATAGACAACCACTTGTTTCTTTTGACCATGATAGGGAAATGACTTCTTTGGTAGATGAGAACTGGTTTTCTTTGGACCTAACATTCCAACCTCTTGCTAATGATAAGAGGATGATGTCATCACCACTGTAACTACTTTTCAGCTGGAATAGGACGTGGTTCTCAGGTCCAGGAAGGCTGGAATGCTGATCAAAGGCCTGGGGGGGCAGGGTACATTTGGTGTGCTGTACAGGTTTTATTAGACAATCTGAGGCTAGTCGAGTTCAGGTAGCTTTGGAGCAGTCTAGAAATCTGGTCCAAAGCTGGGGCTCAAGCTGATAGGAAACTTTGTCAGAAGCATCTGGTTTATGTTGGCTTTGAGTCCAGGGTTTGCTAGTTTTGAAGGTCCACATGAGGCTGGTATGTTGGAGCAGTTTGCACTTAGTTGGTTGGAAATCTGCTGGGACAAATATAGAGACTGGGAACAGAACTTAACATTTAGGAACTTAACGGATATCTTTCGTTTGGAACTTTTAGGCCCATTATTCTGATAGTTGTGGTAGGGGAGGAGTCCCAAGGCCAGGTGAGAGAGATCACAATCTCAGAGATAGGCAGGTGGGGAAACTTAAACTATTATTTACCTGCAGTCCATTTGACAAATGAGAGGTGGATCCAACTCTTATGACTCCCTCAATTCCCTGTAGCTTGCATGAGTTTTTCAGTTTAAGACATGAGATAAAAATTTAGATATAGTTGGGTGTTGGTGGCACTAGCCTTTAATCCCAGCACTTGGGAGGCAGAGGCAGGGGGATCTCTGTGAATTCGAGGCCAGCCTGGTCTCCAGAGCAAGTGCCAGGATAGGCTCCAAAGCTATACAGAGAAACCCTGTCTCGAAAAACCATGTATTTCCACTATTTGTAATCTATTAAAATCCACACTGTTGAAAAGCAACCAACATGTGTCTGTAAGACACCAGGAGTAGGCTCGTGCCTTTGAGTCATAGAAAAATGCTATGGATTTGGGTTAAAAATCATGAACATTGTTTTCCTCTGTCCAGAGGAATATACATACATACATACATACATACATACATACATACATACATACCAGAGGTTTTAGCCCAATGAGAAGCACCTTTATTTCTATATTAGAAGACAACAAAAGGAAATTTAAAATCTTCAGCTCATGACTGAATAGTAAGTAGTCAGCTTATCAGGACTGCACCGATCAATACTAAAAGTCTCAACTTTGGAAATCTTAGTATGACAATAGCATAGGAGGGGGAAAGAAATTTGAAACACTTTCCAATTTTTTATATACCTTACATCATTTTCTGGCACCTTTACAATTTGTATTTATATACTTTAAATCATTTTAGACCCTCAGAACTTACTTAAGCTTTCATGCTCTCTGAGTTTTATACACTTTAGAACATATTCTTAGACCCTCACAACTTGCAAAGACTTTAAGCAATTTTCTTGTCATCTAATCATTTACTAGATACAGGAGTAGTTATTGCTGATGCAGTCCTTGAAAATCATGTTCACTTAAATAAAGTAACAGTACAAAGTTATATCTGAAACCTGTTTATTCTTTAATATGAAGCCTGTTAGCAGGGCAAATGGTCTGCCTTTCTCAGAAGGATACACAGTAGCTCCAGAAAAAGCAAGGCCTCATTTTCTTTTTTACACAGGAAATGAACTAATATGGCTGCAGCCTTG